TAAGAAATAATATAAATTCTTGAAGCATAGCCTTGAGCAATGTGACCCAGGGTCGGCCTGAAAAAGTTGATTTTTTATACAGAACCGTGACTTACTTGAATTCTAGTTTCATTGATAATTGTTTCTAAACCTAAAGACAATTCAGTTTGCTAGAAAACTATACTGAGCGAAACTAACGAAATATTGACATTTGACATCACAGCGAGTATACATTTCTGATTTCTTTCCGCCAGAGCCCGGGGTTTTCCCCGAGATTTAATTCGTACATTCTATTAACGAAACTTTTATAAAACAGTTTAAAACCGATGAAAATTCTGTCTTTAGTATTACTAATTCTGAGTTTTCCAATTTCATTGAACATTGTTATTTGTTAAACAGGTAAAGGTATTTGTTAAAGAGGTAAACAAAGCGAACAGAGCGAAGATTGTATAGTATGTCACAATCAGGACTCGTGGCATTGAGGCGCGCAGAAGACACTGGACACACTGGCATTGAATGACTCTATCCGTGAAGCCAAACTGTACTCAAACAATTTCATTCAAGCGCCAAACCAAAGAATAATGACGAAAGACATATATTTACATAATCAAGCTTCATTCAGTGTAGTGTAAGGTGATTTTATCTGTTAATATCAATAATTATGTTTACCGATAAAGTATGCTCGATTTCGACACATTTTCAAATTTTACAAAGTTTGCGCGCTTGTCATTTTTGTCAAATGATAGATCAGAAAGATATTATTGGCGATTTGTGTTGACTAATGTTAGTAGTTTATAGAAAAGTTAAAGTCATGTGCCAATCAAGTGCCACGATTTTGAAATAAGCTTTCGAAGTTGACATATTTTGAGACGATATCCTTTATCCGTTCGGGAGGGTCAATAACTGCGCCGTTTTCTATTTTATACCAAAGAATAATGATCTAAGTTGTATCACCGACGAAAATAGAAGGATAAGTCTATATTTCTGAGCAAAAATTTTGAAATTTAGGTATTTTTTTGATTTGAAAAATAGCGCTGAAAATATGTCGATATTTGGCCTTCATTCGGAGTATCAAGTTTGTTACCAGTCGATCGAACATCAATCGTCCCCAAAAATAATTTAAAGGAAATTTGAGTAAAATGACATCGATTTTAGTTGTTCCCAAGGATAGATCTTCAAAATACTAGAGTATGAGAGAAATCTATTTTTGAGCCCCATATTGACCTGGAGGTTTTTACGGAGACAGCCTCTTAATGTTTTCGCGCTTTCAAAAATTAATGATTTTATAATCCAGCGAAGGGCATGTATCTGCCCATAAAAAGTAAAAGTAAAGAGACATGTTTTAGTTAATATGTAATAAATACATTTCACAATGAAAAAGTTCTCATTCGTGGGTGGTTTTGAGTGAATTTTGCCTGCTTGAAATGTAAACAGGGTATGAGATCTATTATGAAATAATCCTCTTACACAATATGAAAAAATATGACGTTATTAAATCTTATAACAACTTTCAAAGCAACTTTGAGAAATAACTCCTTCATTTATATTAAATAAAATAATATTCTTGCTAAAGTGATTGTAAGTTATAAATAATTATTTTATGCAGTTGTTCATATAGTATATTTGGGTAAATTAGTAAAAAATAAAGTAAATAAATAAAACAAAAAAGATGATGAAAGAGCTCCAATTTTGACAATGACGATTTTCTGATTATCAATACATTATGGAAAAGTTAAAAACATGCAATTTAGTCGAATCCAATAAGCCAGTTCGACATTTTGACTGTGTATCCAAATGACGTGTTCTGAGTTGGGAGAAAATACAGCTGAATCACATAAAATCTAGCTGAGACTGGACGTATTTATATTTTTAAGTATTCAGTGACTAATATTCTGCATAAAAGAAAAAATAAAACTGTCAATTTAATTCATTTCCTAATAAACTCTATTGGCTTTTTTCTGTCTAAAGCCAAACAATGAAAGTGTACTTGCGGGAATGTTTATGTAACTTGAAGCAAGTCAATCGTCTAAAAACTTCTTCTTTTTCTAAAAAAACTATTTCCATAATTAAAACATCAAAACTTAATCTGGAACGGTCAGTGAAGATAGCGACGATAATAAGACAACTGTGGATTGAGAGGGATACAACTACCTGAAAAATACAAGCAGAACTTCGATGTTGTATCCTTTTGTATCCCTCTCAATCCACAGGTTTCTCTTAAAGCTTAAGCCTGTTTTTCACTTCACCATATCGTAACGTACTGTAGAGCATTTTCTTTTCTGTTGAACTCATTAGTTATTCACAATAACAAAAATACACAGCTACGTTTCGGTACGATATACAGTTAAAGTGAAAAACGCGTTTTAGTTTTAAAATATTGAAAGAGACATTTTAACCCGAATTGTTGCACCAGTATAGTTGCACCAAACTGGCTTATTAGAATTTAGTAAAAAATATTGTTATAACTTGTTGCTTTGCCAGTGTGGGCAAACGTCCATTGCGAAGTTCGATGAAGCTTTCAAGACTGGGATAAACATATGGATTTGACTTAGAAACATTGTACTGTAAAACCACAGGAAATATTGCGACTATCTCGAAAGAGTAGTGAGTGATTTACTTGGACGTTATGTTGTCATCGCTGAAAGTATACGTCGGCTTTTACGAACCGTTGCTGAATATGTTACAGTTTCATCACTTATCATGATACGCGATTTATATATATGTTGGTGACTCAGTGGATTTGAAAATTTCTGATCTGATAAGGTGACTGATATACGGGAATAATGGTAATGGTGTCTTCCACAAGCTTGTTGCGGTTTGTTTATGCTGAAATACCGATGATTAATGTGGAATACCGACAATGAACATGGTTACTTGAAGACGTCGTACTGCAGTAAAGTCAAAAGGAAATTAATGAGCAATTCGAAAGATCGTGAGTCGTTTAGCCAATAACAAAAATCGTGTAGTGTTTATATCGTTGATAATCTACGCCTTTAGGAACAGTTTCTATATCGTGCCATTATTATGCACCGGTTGAATAGGACTAAAAAACAAATGGATTTCAAACTCCTGATCACAATGTGACTGATATACGGGAATAATGCCAAAGCAATTTCCGACAAGCTAGTTTCAGTTGGTATATTTGGAAAAATCGATGATTTGTGAAAGACAAACAATATACAGCATAACTTGAAAACATTATATTGGAAAGCTAAAAGTAACATCATTAATACCATCTAGAAAGACCGTGAGTCGTTTACGTGGACAAAAATTGTACAGTTTTCTCATTGTTGAAAATATACACATTTGACAAACCGTCCTTGTATCCCACGCTCTTATGTACCACTTGTGATGCGTACAGCATAATGCGTGATATCAGTATTTGTTGAAAATATATGTGTGGATTTTATGATCTTGATCACAGTGTGTCGTATGTATGATGAATGGTAATGTTACAACTTTCAACAAGCTATGGTAGTTGGTATACGTAGCTAGCGAATGGTATTAATGAACTTGACAAATGGTCGGTTGTCCAACTGCTAGAAACTATAAATTTCCGGAATTATGGGGAAAATGGCAACGACTTAAAAGAACTTTCGTACTGAAAAACAAAATTGAAAAAATCTAAAGAACCAGTTCAAATTAAATCTCGTATTATAAGCTCGGTGAATTACTTTACAAACTAGAAAATATATAATTATTCTAGACTTTGCGTGGTCTTACTTATGATGGTCTGGACTTGTTTGGTACTACTTTGCTGCTCATGAGACTAAGGATTTGGCGTTCCTTCATACATAAAGCAGTGAACGGTATTGATGATTTGGTCAAAACGTGGAACATAGCGCTTGTAATTAGGTCGTGCTTGCATGTACTTTGTCTGCCAGTAAATTAACAAAACGAACGTGTTGGAGAACAAAGAAAACTGAATCATAGATCTTCTAGCACGCGTGCAGGCCCAAGGGAACTGACAGTGGGCCTGCGTGCAAGGTCCGGTATTTTGTAAAACGCCCCTTTTCATAACACGCCCCATTCGCGCGTCAATTGTCAAAAAAGAACCAATGACAGCACCCAAATATTAACAAACAAACTCGCATTAAAATGTTGCGGGGTTTTCCGTCTGCTTATTCAGAACATAAACAATGTCTAAATGGCTGCGTTTTAACTCCAAAAAAGCAAGCAACGCCGTCAGTAATTGACAAATTTGCCGGTACTCATTTTCAACTAAAATCGGAACAGGCAAATTAAGACGAATTTCAACAGAAAACCAGTCTCAAACTTCAAATCGTGAGGGAAGTCGTGCGACCACATTAGCATTTATAATGTGTGCTTCGCTGTTGCCATTGTTATAAATAAATTGTCTCACTTATCAGATCATGTGTGCAATTCTTGTTGGCGGCGGAAAGTACGAAATTTATTTCAGTTATTTCATTTGGTAAAGAATTCTACAAAAGAAGAGAGCGTTCAGAGTCCAGATCGTTTCGTTTCAAGCGGCAATTTAATACCATCTTCTGTTTCGCTCTCTCAGCGAAGCCTTGTAAATCGCAAAGTGTTTCGAATAGGCTTACATGCAACTGCATCTCAACATCAACCAAAAGATAATTTTCTTGAGGAACATATAACGTATCAAGTCTGAAATTAATGAAACTCAAGTAAAGGTTACTATAGTTTACCCCAGTCGTAAATGTTGCTATTCCAACACCTCACGACAAGCAATCCCCATTGGCATAACGGCAAAAACATCTCTTCCTTCAAGTAAACAATAAACAGTCTGTTCTTGTTCATTTGTAATCGAAAAAAGTGATCAATTTTCGAATTTTAAGCTTATCGAGAGCCTTTGTCCATGCCTTTGTGATGAATCACTGACCTAATTATAGAATCCAACAGCAAACAGCCAATCAGAATGCCGCGTTCGTGGGCGAACGCGGAAAGTACAAAATACCGGGCCTTGCTTGCAGGCCCACTATCAAGTTCCCTTGAGCCTGCTCCCTTGGGCCTGCACGCGGGCTATTGCCACAAGGGCCTTGGAATTCAATAGAACATAAGTTTCGAAAACGCATAATATTAACTTTCACGTCTTTTTCGCTTACACAGCTGGAAACACTTGCTATTTATGTCCACGGACAAATCTAGTGATAACCGAGTAAGGCATCGACAGAAAGCCTATTGACAATAGATGCCAAAAATACAATTTTCAGACTGGCCCAAATTCAAGTCTCTGCTACAGGAGCCTTGAAATTCAATAGAATATAAGCTTCGAAACGGGATAATATTAACTTTGACGTCTTTTTCGTTTACACAGCCGGAAAAATTTGCTTTTTATGTCCACGGACTGTCTATTTATGCAAGAATGAGGCATCGACAGAAAGCCTATTGAACGTAGATTACAGAAATATAATTTTCAGACCGCGAAAAATTCTAACTTTTTCCACAAGGGGCCTTGGAATTCCTTAGAACATAAGATTCGAAAACGCATAATATTAACTTTCACGTCTTTTTCGCTTACACAGCTGGAAAAACATGCTTTTTACGTCCACGGACTGTCTATTTATGCAAGAATGAGGCATCGACAAAAAGCCTATTGAACGTAGATTCCAAAAATACAATTTTCAGACCGTGACAAATTTTAATTTTTGCCACAAGGGGCCTTGGATTTCAAAAGAACATAAGATTGGAAAACGCATAATATTAACTTTCACGTCAGGAACCTTGTCCTCAGCGTCAGAAACCTTCTGCTCAGCGTCAGGAACCTTGTCCTCAGCGTCAGGAACCTTGTCCTCAGCGTCAGGAACCTTGTCCTCATCGTCAGGAACCGTGTGCTCAGCGTCAGGAACCTTGTCCTCAGCGTCAGGAACCTTGTCCTCAGCGTCAGGAACCTTGTCCTCAGCGTCAGGAACCTTGTCCTCAGCGTAAGGAACCTTCTGTTCAGCGTCAGGAACCTTGTCCTCAGCGTCAGGAACCTTGTGCTCAGCGTCAGGAACCTTCTGCTCAGCGTCAGGAACCTTCCGCTCAGCGTCAGGAACCTTGTGCTCATCGTCAGGAACCATGTGCTCAGCGTCAGGAACCTTGTCCTCAGCGTCAGGAACAGTGTGCTCAGCGTCACGAACCGTGTCATCAGCGTCAGGAATCTTGTCCTCAGCGTCAGGAACCTTGTCCTCAGCGTCAGGAACGTTGTTCTCAGCGTAAGGAACCTTGTCCTCAACGTCAGGAACCTTGTCCTCAGCGTCAGGAGCCTTGTCCTCAGGGTCAGGAACCTTGCGCTCAGCGTCAGGAACCTTGTGCTCAGCGTCAGGAACCTTGTCCTCAGCATCAGGAACCTTGTCCTCAGCGTCAGGAACCTTGTCCTCAGCGTCAGGAACCTTGTCCTCAGCGTCAGGAACCTTGTCCTCAGCGTCAGGAACCTTTTCCTCAGCGTCAGGAAACTTGTCCTCAGCGTCAGGAACCTTGTCCTGAGCGTCAGGAACCTTGTCCTGAGCGTCAGGAACCTTGTCTTCAGCGTCACGAACCGTGTGCTCAGCGTCAGGAACCTTGTCCTCAGCGGCAGGAACCATGTCCTCATCGTGAGGAACTTTCTGCTCAGCGTCAGGATCCTTCTGCTCAGCGTCAGGAAGATTCTGCTCAGCGTCAGGAACCTTGTCCTCAGCGTCAGGAACCTTGTCCTCAGCGTCAGGAACCTTGTCTCAGCGTCAGGAACCTT